CTCCGGCACCTCGGGTGTCAGCGCGGGAGCTGCGCTGGGCCTCCGGCGGGATCCGGTGTCCCCTCAGCTCCGCCCCGGCGCTCTCGCCTGCGCAGGGCCCGTCTCCGCGCTGCCCTCCCCGGCCCAGCCCGGCCCGGCTCTCCCCATGGCCGCCATGTCGGTCAATCCCATGGACTACGAAGCGCAGTTCTTCGGTTTCACCCCGCAGACCTGCATGCTGCGCGTGTACATCGCCTTCCAGGACTACCTCTTCGAAACCATGCTGGTGGTGGAGAGCGTCATCCTGAAGAAGCTCGATGGGTTTCCCGACTGTAAAATCAGCCCCTTCCAGATCCGCAAGAGCACCGAGAAATTCCTCCTCTTCATGAAGGAGCACTTCGATAAACTCTTCAGTAAAATGGAAGAAGTGCTTCTGCAGCTGGTGTTAAACATCCCCAAGAACGTGCTCCTTCCCGAGGACAAGGTCCACGAGCAGTTCCCCTACAGCAAAGAGCAGTTCCAGGCGCTCCAGGGTGAGATCCAGCAGCTGCAGCAGCAGTTCAGGGCTGAGGCATCCGCCGGGCAGGCGCTGCGAGCAGAGCTGGAAGAACAGAGAGTTGTTCGGGCTGAGCTGGAAAAGATTTTGCAATGGTTTGATGGGCTTGAGAATATCAGTCGGGAGCACGGGACCAGCAACTTCAAAGAAAGCTTTGCATTCCTGACAGAGAACTCGAAGAAACTGCAAGATGTGCTGAAAGATGTCGAAGAGAAAAGCAAAAAAATAAAGAAGCACGATCAGTTGTTGTGATGGAAATTCTGAAAAGGCAACAAAAACCATTTAGACAGCTTGCTTAAAATGATAGGGGCTTATCTTTTTAGAAGCATCTCCACTGATCTCTAATCCTGCCAGGATCCAGGCTAAAAGCTGTTGAACTGTGTCACTTTGCATCTGTTCAGCACCTCCCCAGGGAGGCAGGGAGAGGGAAACAGCCTGTAAACATAACTCTGAAACTGGGGACTGAGAATTGGTGTTGAGTTGGATGACCTGGCTGTGGAGGTTATAACCTTCCTGAACGTTAACTCTGGACACAACACAGCATCTGTTTGTTTTGATTGTTTAAAGAACCCCTAAAAATCCACCTGTGAGGGTGTCTGAGGGTTTCCAGTGGGATGCTCCTTCCCGCAGGAGCTGTGCTGCACAGGCCATGTGTCGTCAGGGCTCAGGTGCCCTTCACCACGTTTTAAAGCCGAAAGAGAAGAGTGAGACAGCGATGCTGGTGTCAAGGCTCTGATGAGAGATCTGTTGACATCAATGCTGAATTTCAGCCCAGTTTCTGAAATGTCAGGGTTACTCACTGCTCCACAGACATCTGCAAAGAGGCAGCTGGTGTTTTCTTTGAGGGCGAGGTGCTGCTCCATAGCTCGAAGGTGCAGAAGCCACTGGAGGAAACGAGCAACTCAATGACTCTGTCCTACTTCAGCTCATCTTGCTTTGTATATAGAATTTTCTTTGTTTTTATTTTTTGTTGTCCAGTTTCCTTTTTCTACTAAATAGCAAAGTTCATTTTATTCACATTTCATGAGATTTTCCTGCTAAAATGTTGTGGGGACTGACTGATCTGCTGGAGTGCTTTGAACTCACTTAATTAAGCTTATTTGATCTGTGCTTGATTCAAAACACAACACAGTCTGCATGCCTCTCCATCAGCCTCGGCAGGTTTTGAATCTCCTGCACAGACGTATCATTAATATCAGTACTAATTTCTACTTTATTAGCATAGATGCTTGAAAGATATTAAACCTGTGAATAATTTAGAAGTTACTGCAATAAAAACAATGTGCTAAAAGCATAAATTACACTTTGCAATTCTTTCTTTCCCAATTTCTGAAGACTTTGTACAGAATCAGTTTGGTTAAAACAGTGACTTTAAACACACCCTGAGACCTGGAGACTCAGCGGAGGGGCATGTCCAGCCCCAAATCATGGTCATGTATTTGTGGGTCCCCTCGAGGTCCAGATGCTGGTGAGCAGCTCCATGTACCCCCACTCCACCCTCACCAGCCTCTCCGGCTGTCCTACCCTGGCTCACCGGGGGCTGGTTCAGCCCGTGGGAGCAGTGATGGCCATGGGACGTGTCCCTTCAGTGACAAGCGGGTACAAGGTGGCCAGAGACGATGGCACTGTGCTGCTGCAGGAGCAGGACCTGGGACTGGCTTTTAAAGAACGGGGAGAAGTTCCACGTGATTGATTTTCATGCTCATTTTCTCTCAATTGAGTGTGTGGAGCTGGAAGATCCAGAGAGCCCCAGGCTGGGAGCGAGGTGTTTTATAAAACCCCATGTGAAAAATACAACCAGCTGCTGTAAAACGTCAGCAGGAGCTTTTTACGGGAAACGTAGGACACTCGGGCCTCTGCACACCCCAGCAGCAGAGCTGAGGTCCAAGGGGAACAAAGCCACTGGTTTTCCTACCAGGATCACACACGCTCCTGGTACGGAGACACATGGGAACCCAGAGCCTCACGGGGCTGGGGACATCCCAGCAGCTGGATTTGCCATCGGGATGTGGTGATGGTTGGAGCCCCGCTCTGGCTACCCGGACTGTCAGGTTTTCAGCAAAACTCACTCCAGGGAGTGAATATTTATTCACTGCAGGGAGTAAAAAGCGCTCACCAGCTGTGGGGAGGATGTGCAGGCAGATTTGTAGCCCCCACACATGGAGAAGGGGGGTGGATGCAGCGGGGAAGGAGCTGACACCATGTCCCAGGGGTGGTGGTGTCCCCAAAATGCCCTACACACCCCTGGGGGCTGAGTTCCCTGTGCCAGGGGGAAAAAAGGAATAAAATTAAGAATTTTTGGGGCAGAATTCACAGCCAATTTGAGCACTTGGGGCCAAGCGATGCAGCCCTCCTGGACACTGAATGACGATGCAATTAGCAGTTGTTAATAAACCCACACCTGGCAAAATGCCAGCCTGGGGGCAGGGGGGTTACTGATGCCTCTTCATTAAAAGCTTAATTACAGGCAGGAAACACTGGTGGCAGCCACACGCTTTAATTGCTTCTTCCCTCTTCCTCTGTCACCTGCAATCCCACAGTGGCTGCTGTCCCTGTCCCCATCCAGCAGCAGGGCTGAAGGGACAGGACAGGACAGGGAGGAGATGCTCATGTGACACTATCCCATTATAATCATAGACTGGTTTGGGTTGGAAGGGACCTTAAAGCTCATCCAGTTCCAACCCCCCTGCCATCAGCAGGGACACCTTCCACTAGACCAGGTTGCTCAAAGCCTCATCCAACCTGGCCTTCAACACTTCCAGGGAGGGGGCATCCACATCTTCCTTGGGCAACCTGTTCCAGTGTCTCTTGAGCTCATTTCCCTGTATGGCTCCTGCCGAGTAGAGATGATAATGATGAAAAAAACCCGTTATGCAAAAAAAAAAAAATATGTCACAGGGATTTTGTCTGGCCTAGACTAAGCAAGAGCATCCCCCTTCCTGAAACACAGCCCCGAGAAACTTCCTCTGTCAAAAACAAAACCAGAGACTGACAGTGTAGGCGTTTAACTTGGCTGGCAGCCAAACCCCACACAGCTGCTCACTCACCCCCATCCTTCCCCCCACGCCCAGGGAATTGGGGAGAGAATTGGAGCTTTTATTGTAAATCATCATAGAAGACTTAACATCAGCCTGAAAGGAAAAAAAGAAATAAGCAAATGAACTGGAGAAATAATGTCAAGGCAAAGTCATGGATTTCATAGAATCCCAGACTGCTTTGGGTTGGGAGGGACCGTAAAGCTCATCCAGTTCCAACCCCCCTGCCATCAGCAGGGACACCTTCCACTAGACCAGGTTGCTCAGAGCCTCATCCAGCCTGGCCTTCAACACTTCCAGGGAGGAGCAGCCACAGCTTCTCTGGGCAATCTGGGACAGTGTCTCTTTGAGCTCATTTCCCCGTATGGCTCCTGCTGAGTAAAGATGCCTCAAAACTGGGCACTTTGGACCCGATGGTCCCACACCTGCGACCCCTCTGCTGGAACTGGAACAGGTTGCCCAAGGAAGTTGTGGATGTCCCCTCCCTGGAAGTGTTCTTGGCCAGGCTGGATGAGGCTTTGAGCAACCTGGTCTAGTGGAAGGTGTCCCTGCTGATGGCAGGGGGGTTGGAACTAGATGATCTTTAAGGTCCCTTCCAATCCAAACCATTTTATGATTCTATGAAATAGTAGTAAATATAAATAAATTATAATTTACCACTCAAGAAATCCCTGTAGAAACACAGCCCATTTAAAAGAAAATGAGGGGGAGCGGCCAAGTGAGGCTCAGACACCAGAGAGCAGGCGAGAGCCAGCAGCAAGCGCCGCGTCAGGAACCGCACTGATGCCAAGTGTCGTTTCTCTGGGCTTTATTGTCATTTTTCTCTTCGTTTCTAGAGTAGAAAAGCATGCAAAAAATAGCATCTCTATTCATGGTACATATTTACAGCGTAACAGCCACATGCCGTTACAGGACTGAGTGCATATACATCATGCTTGAGTGATAGCAGAGTACAGAGTCATATATTGAACATCAAGTACAAGAGACTGAAATAGTAACAGGACAGGCCTATAAATCAGAAACAGCAGCGAAATTACAGCACAGAGGATCTGAATTAAACCCTTAAAAGTTGCAATTTATTTTTTTCTTGAATTTACACTATTTATTTTGGAACACTGACTGATGGCTCGTGGTTACTGACCCAGGGCCTGGGTGTCTGCTAGCAGCAGCTCTGAGCATACATGGCTTTTCTTCAGGAAGGGAAGGTAAAAGGCAGCGACTAAATCTCGAGCTCCTTTCTTTCCCTCATCCCATGGGAGGCCGTGGTCAGAATAACAGGGTCATGAGATAACCCAGGTTAATTCAGATCAGGAAGGACTGGATCAGAGCGTGGCTCTGGTGAGAAAACAAATCCCTTTCACTGCTTTGTTCAGCAAATAACACTGTGAATGTGCCCTGGGAAAGCGGAGAAGTTTGGTACCCAAACTAAGTTCTAGATACACAAAAGTCCCGTTATCTTCTCTCCAACCTTCAGC